TAAAATAGATAACTTTCAGCAGAGATAACTTGAAGAGGTAGCTGCACTGTGTTATCACCAACTAAAATGTTGGCAGTTCAATTCCAGCTCTGTGACATTTTGTGGCGATGCAGGCACATCGACTTCAGGTCTTCAGTCTGTCTCACAGGAACGATGTAGCAAGTCCTGGACTGTTGACATGATTTTGGTCCTGGTGGATTTCTTCACTGGCTTTGATTCTTGCGCGACATCGAGCGCTAGTTTGTTTCATTTGATTCACACAACATTTAAACCGTGGAGACTTGAACATTTTGTCACAAACTCTGACCTTTTGTACTACTTTAGTCAGTGACTAGTGACTCGACTTCACCGACTTGAACTCCAGGGACTACAGTTTTACTGAGCTAGATTGGCTTTGACTTGTTTGATTGGCAGCAGTCACTTATACTACACTACTCCATGCCAAGACTTGGACATGGGCCAGATTTGAGTAGTCGGAACTCAAGTACGTTCATCTTCCTCGGTCACTCAACCAAATGACGTGACTTCTTTATTCTTTACTCTACTCTAGTGACTTGGACTCGGACTTGTGCTGTCGAAGTCACTGACTCGTAACAAGTCATAGCCATGTGTGCTGATGGCAGAGCGTTCACTGCAGATGTTCTTCAGTGACTTGTCTTTGCTTATTGCTGTCTTCGTTTCACTTCGGTTCACTGCAGATGTTCTTCAGTGACTTCACATGTCTTTGCTTATTTCTGTCTTCGTTTCACTTCTTCTCTTCCCCCGCTGTTCTTCATGGACCTGATTTAGCAGTAAACTCAGGTTAAAATAGGAAACAAACCCTGAGAACAACAACAACAACAACAACAACAACGATGCAGAACAACCTGCGGGCTGTAACCAGCTTCCTGATGCACTCATTTCTAAGCTGATACACACACACATAATTCCAGGGCGTGATTTATTGTCCGCACACACAGCGTAGCCTGGGGTTATACTTGTAAAGTGTGCTGCCATAACAGGAGGGGGCACTGTTTTAAGCAGCTGCATACAGTATGTTGACGGTTGAGCCCTACGACGAGCAGCGATCGAGACAGAGCTATAATAAAAACCCGAGCCATGATGGATGAGCCTATCAGAGTGTTTTGCGATGATGAACACGGGGAGTTTCTCACATATTGGATTTTTGATACTGCTTCTTCCAGGAGTTACATTTTCACAGGTCTTGTTAAACAAGAAAACACAGCTTCAAGGGTGAAACGGGGGGAGAGAACGGGGGAAAGTAAAAAAAAAACAGTTATTTCATTATTCATATAACACTGTTAGACTTTTAATTGGTAAAAACTTTTCCTATATGAACAAATACAACAAGTTTGGCTTTTAAAGGTACTGTTAGTTGACTAAAATAAATACTATCGCCATAACAAGTTCTTTTGTTCTGAGTTGGAACGATTCTTCTGCTTCGGTTCATCAGGTCAATAAATACTTTTTATTAGTAGTTAAGTTAAAATTGATAATGGGACGGTGATGAGTAAATTCTTACGAATTCCCAACATAACCAATAACCTGTGGTTCTGCACCGACTGTTCAAGGTAATAAAGTGCTGAGCGCCTGCTGTTCTGCCTGAGGGGCTGTACACCCCTGCACCCACAACAACACAAAGGTCTGTGTTTATGTTTTAAACAATAGCTGTCAATCAGAATCATTTTTGTTGTTGTTGTTGTTATAATTGTGCTATTATCCAGTCGACCAAGTCAACACACAATAAATCACAAATAATAATATATCAAATAATATGTCTTTATTTTTTCTACTTAAATATATGTTAAAAATACTATTTTTCATTTTTTTAAATTCTCTTTAAAATAAAATAAAATACAAATTTCTTATGTTTAGAGATTCATGCCTTACAGTGGTGTCTCAAACTTGAGCTGTTCCTGACCCTCCCCCAATATTTCCCTCTTTTAACTAACTAAAAAAATCAAATATAGAATCATATACTGTGAAAAACAATTATATATACTTCCTCACAGTGAAGTACACAATCAGTATTTAAGTCAAATTCCTTTCAATGTATTCCTTTTTTTTAATTCTCTTCCTGGCTGCAGCTTAAGTGCGTCATTATAAACAGTAATTTTCTTTTTTCTCCTCAACCACCCACAAATAATCTGTCGAATTCATTGCCTGCTCTGCTGCTGCAGAGGGCTCTGACTTTATTGGTTCCTTCAGCAGTGATAATTGCAATTTTTAATTTAGTGGAAGGAAACAAACGACAGAAGCCTTGGGGGAGTTTATTAATATTGTTTGCGGTTCAACGCGGGGCAGATCATTTGTTTTTATCAAGCGTCTCGGCTAAATCCATATTAGTATATTCTGTGTTTCAGTGTATAAATATTTAAAGATGTTGTTATTACCCATTTTCACTCTCAAGGACTTTGAATAACTGTCACTTCGGCGGTGCAGGGGAGACTTATGCTAAACATGCTAAACAGAAATTGCTTTTCTATTGTGTTTATTTTTTCTTTCTTTTTGCTAGCAGTGAAAAAATAACTATTTTTTTCTATAATATATATAATATACATATATAAATATATATACTCATACATATAATATATGTATATATAAATGTATAAATCTACATATATATAAATATATATATATATTATATATAAATTTAATAAAGTGATCAGAGGAAATAGCATTGGGCTAAATGTGCCTTAAAAAACCACTGGAATCCTTGAGGTTCAGTTGGTCCTTGTCTGAAGTAGAGAGTCTGATTCCATCACTGAATTTAACAGAAAAAGAACACGTCAGGTCAGGGATCAGAGCCGAGCTCCTCCATGTGGGACACACTTATGATTGGTATCGATTTGTTCATACTGATGAATGTTTTTCTGAGTATTTCAGATAGTTTTTGTGTGTTTGTTGGGCACGGCCAGGCTCCAGTGCACCAGTCAGGCTTTACTGTACTGTAGCAGCTGACGCAGCAGGCGCGGCACCTTGAGTGGTACACAACAGGAAATCAATGTGATATGGAGAAAACAAATAACTTGTGTCAGTGTGCGGACGAATGGACCGGATGCGTCTAAATGATGGTGTAAAAATTGTCCATATATTTTTATGTTTTTACACAGCTCAGTGGAAACGCTGTGGGTTTGAAATGCACACAGACTTTTACGCAGGATGTTTCTTTCAAACGGCTGCGATGATTGACATTTCAAACAGAGAACAGCAGATGTCTGTGGCAGTTTTATGTGCCATAATGCTTTATGCAAATTTAATAAGCATTATGATGGTGACTGAGCTGAAGGGTTTGTGTGAACTGTGTGTGTGTGTGTGTGTGTGAGCCCGGCTCAATGCAGTGTGGCTTTAAATTCACAAAGAACGGATTTAGTCTGAAAATACCCCGGAGGAATTGCATGTCCTAAGATGTGATACTTCAGGCAATAATTACATGGTATACAAATGTACTGCAGTATCATCTAATATAGAGTGTTTACTGTGTAAAAATACTTTGGTTTTCAATTCAGGATTCAAACACTGTCTTGGCTGAATTATTTAGCTCCCATTGTGTGTAAAACTTGATGTCTAGTGATACAAGTGAACAGGTGAACTGTAAACAGATTTTCATATACAGTACTATATACAGTATATATACAGTTAAATGGTAGAATACACTTTAATTGACTGAATTCAATAAAAGTTAACGACTATATACAGTATATATACAGTTAAATAGTAGAATACACTTTAGCGTTAGCTAACTGCTACAAAAACACAGTGAGATTTTATTTTGAACTCTCACAGGTTGTTTTGAAAACTGACTAAAAAAAACTAAGATTACAAAACCAGGATGGGAATTATCTGAAAAAGCTAAACAGGAACTAAGCAGTGACCAAGTCACAGTCCAAAGTTTGCAAAAAAAGCTCAAGCAAATAATAAAAAAACAAAAAAATAAATGTAATTTGACATATTTTGGTTTCATAATAGACAAAGAAACTACATAACTTTTAAATCAACAGTCAAAAGTAGTTCCTGTTCATTATTTTTATCATCCAAATAAATTCAAGTTTCTTTTTTCATTGTTCACCTTTTATTTTATTTATTTTTTTTAGATGAATTACAGTTCAACTGGTCTATGGACCATGAATAAACCCCTGGTCTAAATATTATTAGAGCAACAGATACTGTTGTATTTTACAGATGTGTTTTTTTTTTCTTCTTTTGTCCCTTTTAGTCTATAACTATTTCTATTCGTGCTACATCTGAATAAATCAACAGCAGGTGGATCCCAGGGACCGGAAACGTAATCTGGGGATTTGCTGACATGAGCTGTCAAACTGGTGGAGAAAAAAAACACCCATTAAATAATAAATGAAGCCTTGATATTTTATATATGTTAAACTATATTTTTCAAAAGTATGAAACAGCTGTTTAGTCATTTCCATCAAATCAGTTTTTGATCTTGATAAAAGACTTGATTCTCTACGTGTGTCTTATAATGATGTCTTTCATGTTTGAAAGTAGATCTTGCAATGCATGCTGGGACTGGATGTGTATTTCCTGATGGGAAGCAATTATGTATTTTTTGTATTTCCATAGCCAGTTGTTTACGTCTCCAAGGGGCTAATTACAATAGTCGGAGACGGCGACTGTCAGTTGACGTGTGTGATACTCAGTCCTCCACTTATCTCTTAAGGACGGGGAAATTATGTAAATATTGTATCGATGACACACTGACTATAGACGTCAAGTCTGTTGACTCTCGTTCTGGATATTTATTCGCATCAAAGGAGATCAATTCCAGCGATTCAAATCAAGTCTTCAACCACTGAGACTTCTTAGCGGATCTGAATGCACTGACAGCTAAATATCGATGTGCGAACACAGTTAGCATCCTGTCACCTGCAGATCCAGGCCCAGATGCTGTCATGGGGAGCCTCCCTCCCTCCAAACACGTGTCACTAGATGGATGTTTTTGGCCTGTTTATCACGACTGAATCCAAACGTTCTGTTTTCAGAGGGGGTTGAATCCAAACGCCATCCCTGACGTGTGAACAAAGGCAGCCCTTCACGCCAATCTGGTGTCTCAGGTTGAAGAGATAAACGGCGCTCTTCTGAGAAAAAGAGAAAGTGCAGTCGAACATCTACGCCATCGGTAAGTTTCTCATCCTTTCATGCCCTCGCACTCCGCTCTAATGCCTCTGCACCTCTGGGAAAACAGACCATTTGTCTTTCTAGCCAGAGTTAGAGTCTAACAGGAGCTAACAGAAGTCAGGCGGACCATATTTATCTTGGTCTGCGGAGGAAGTGAACACAAACATTTGGTGATAATTTCAACCTCTGGGAAGGTTCTAGAAAGATTGTGAGGTCTGTGTCACCATCGAGGTGAAATAGTACGCATTGGTACTGTTTGTCTAGACTTGGCTAGTCTTTGGAACTGAGAAGCTACAGCTGAGACACCTGGTCTTTGGTTCTGGTTTTCCTGGTTATGACCCACAAGTTAAACCCACGATGCCTTACAGATCATAGGTTCTAGCCCCAGTGGTCGCTCCTGGTGTTTCTGCATTGATTGATTCTGATTTGTATTTTGTGTTACCTTTCTTAGTTTTGATTAGAGCCACCTAGTGGTCATAATTTCTACTGTACATGGTATGATACATAGTAAGTCTTTATTATTCTTGAAATGGCCAAGAGGGGGCGTCTCTAGGGTCTACTCACACACTGTAAAATCACTACACAGACTACTGCTGCAGTGACCCCTGATACAGGGGCGAGCCAAGGTTGATTCATCATTAAGTTGTTTAAAATGTCCATACTTTTACTTTTACCATAAACGTTTAATTCAGTGACATTTGTTTAGAATTTATGAAGTGAATTATTACCATATTCGTTGTAGTCAAAGGTCAATACAACTGTTAGGAGAAAACTGTTTGTTCCGATGCCTGCTGGGAAATGTTTACAATTCCCCATTTGCCAATCAATAGAAAAAACCCTGAGCCTATTAGCCTTGTGAACTCTTTAACACCGCGCGGCCTCTATTGGTCAGAGCAGTCGATGATGTTTGTCACTTTAATGCGATTAGCAGCCTTTCTATTAGCCCTATCACAGAGCTCCATCTGTGGTTCTAGGGGTCAGCGCTGGGCAGATTTGTTTTGTTTAGGTTTTTTTCTTGTAACACATGAAGGTCTGTCCCTCAGCTGCGTTCACAGGGTCAATGTCTGGTTCGGCTCTAATTGTCTCTCAGGATTTAATTTCATTATCGAATTTCTTGTTTAACGTCTCTAGCGCTTTTTCAAACTCATCCAGTCCAATCTAGGCGTCAGTCCTTCTTGATTATTCTGTTTAGAGATTGGAAAACCACTGCTGCTCTTTGAGACTGTCTTTATTTATTTATTTATTAGCCTGCTGCTAATAGATACAGAGACGCCTAGGCTAACTTTAGCTGTCTTGAAAGGAAAATGGGTTTTATCCCATACACCTCACTTGTGGCAGGGTTTTTCTCCCATAGAAAAGTCGGACTTCCCCCACAAAGGGTTTCCATTGGTCCACAGATGAGGTGATTACACCTTTACATTTCTAACACATCATGCTACCTGTGGTCCAATTGCAATTAATGTTTCAATGTTTGAACAAATGTGTGTGTGTGTGTAAATGAGACTTGAAAACACCAGAAAAGTGGGTCAGCCTGTGGCCTCGTGATAAGAGGATTGGGTTTATTACCCCGGCCCTGGTGTGTTGAAGAAGCATCGAAAATTCCCTCGCTCGCCAGGCGTTCCTTAATGCACATCCACTGATCCCCAGGGATGAGTTAAATACAAAGGACAAAATAAACTGGGCTTTTTTTTATTTTTATTTATGCAATTAGTATTTTTTTTCTTTTCAAAGAATGGCTCAGTGTGTGTGTGTGTGTGTGTGTATGACCTGGTGACCTGGAGGTCTGTTGATGGTTTGTGTGTTCCGTGTTCATGTTGACCTTATTCTCTGTTTATCTGCTGTTTGTGTTGAAGAACTTCTCTGCTACACGTCTCTGTGTTACAGCAGTGATTAAGTGTAAAAATGGAGTTATCGACGAGTTCATCAGCTCAGCTGTAGATGTTGGTAATTTCAGACGCCACCTACATCGTCTTTACCCCAGTCAGGAGACAGGAGATCGTTAGATTGAGCTGAGATGAATCAGACACTTCATTCCTCTGGCAACTCCTTCTCCGCGTTATTAATATCATATTCTGTTTAAGTCAATACGGGAGAAAAAAAAGAAAGAGCTGCCTGGCGTAGAAACTATGACTCCACATGGTTTTATCTTCATTTTGGCACCGAGGACGAAATAAACGCTTCATCCGTTTATAGTGAGATGTTTGAAGAAGTCGACGTACATTCAGTCCCTGAACCGTTGACATTTAACAGTCATCGTATTATAATAATGGAGATGTAATAATGTGACAACACATATTTTTCTCTGTCTTTTGTGCGATTCCTCTCTCTCTGTCGGGCCGTGACGGGGAACGTTATGTTTGAACCATGTGTTTGTATAAAAGGGCCAAAGGTTAACCAAGAGAAAAGCTAACAGTTAGCGAAAAACACATTTCTATAAATGCCACAGAAGTGTTGTGACCTATAACTGACCTCGGGGTCAGATGGAGACTCGTCTGCATTTTTCTGACAGAAAGATCGTTTTATCAGAGTCTTATTTGTGCTTTATTCAAACTGGTCATGTTTGAAAGGCTTTTCCTTTGAGACAAACAAAAATGAAATTGAAAATACTTTTATAAAAGAAGCCAAAAGGTTGTAATTTTTCGTTACACCTTTTTGCTGAGTTTTCTTCTGCATTTTTATCACAGGCGGTCAGACTTTATAACGGCTTCATTGTCCTTTTAAATTGAATTTTTTTTTCTCTCCCTGTGAGGTTGTGCAGATAGTCAAGAAGCAAGTGGCTTTATAATTCAGCAAATTAATAAGATTTTTTTTTTCCAGAACAAATCCTTTGGCTGGACAGCAAAAAGTGTTTTTAAAAAACAAAACTTTCTGTTTCTCAGCTGGATTTTTAGGAATTCTCTCTTACTTACAGTTGTCTCTTGCTCGTGGATGAGGCTCGTTCTGCTACAGCTCTGTTTCTGTGGTTCTGTTTTGAGGGTTTTTTGTGTGTCCTCCTTACAAACCTCTCTGCCGTCAGTGAGATGTTGACAGTAAGCCCTGCCACCGGTGAGAATGTGGAGCAGTCGGAGGAGCACAGGTAATGCATTTTTGATGCTCGCCGCGGCTCACCGTCTCTCTGCTGGGAGCGTGGTGTGACCGTGCTCTCAGGAACCCTGTGAGTTTCTGGGTCTAGCTTCAGAATGAGTGTTAAGTGTCCCATTAAAATGGATGTCTGAATCAGCAGGGAGGAGCAGCGCCTCCCGATGTCTCCTTTCAACCTCACTTATCGGCACTGTCTCACAAAGAAAGATCTCCAACAGCAGCACGGTGCGAAGTCATGGTGCCTTGTCTTCAAAGGCTCAAACCTTTATCTCTGGGCAAGTAATCCAAGAAAGTCTGCTGCATCTGTTTGTTTTTAAGATTTAGAAAAATCCTGCCCAAACAGTCTCTCCATTTCTAATCCTGCTGTAGATTAAACTGACCATTTAAAATATTTAAACAATAAAATGAATGCCAAGATGGGGCATTTTAAATAATAATAATAAAATAATAATAATATATAAACAACTGTTAAAAGTTGGTGATGCAGCTGAACCTTTGAAGATATTTGAAATAGTCTCATTAAGGCGATTAGGCAGAAATTAGAATTTAGAAAGTACTTAAAGGACAAAGAGACAAAAAGTAGTTAGCAAGAACAATGCTAACAGCAAAAAAGTTACAAAAAAAATGAACAAAAGACAAAATATAAACCTAGCCAGGTTTACTTAGCATGATAGCTCAAATAGCTACACATTAGCCTGACATACAAATCTAGCCTTTTGACAGATAACTGAAACAAGCAGCTTTAAAACATATTCTGAACTAAAGGTACTATAGACGCTCATCCTTTAAGGTTCAGTGAAGGTCCAACATATGGAGAGAAACACGTCATATCGTTCCATGTGACTCTCAGTTCTTAGCGAACGCCGCCTCTGCTGCAGCCGGAACTCATCTTCAATAACAGCTGAGTTCGATCCTCAGGGGGCGGAGTCTGTGTCATTCACACATCGAGCGGACGTTATTGAGGAAGGTAATTGGCAGAGAGTTTCATCTCTGGAGGTTTCCTTTGGCCTGGACGCAGCCATTTGTCAGAGGACTGTAGGACTCTGCCATTAATCTGTGCAGGGATAAGAGAGAGGAGGAATGTTCCAGAGCCTTACCTTTTCCTTCTCCCCTGACAGAAAAATCCTTACCTCATCACAGTGCACTCTCCAATCTACACTTAGAATCTTCTGGGGAAGCAGCGGCCAACAGAGCGGTCCGCCCTGCTCAAGGGAGATCAAATAATTAAACAGGCGACTGAGTCGATTGGTAAAAACACGACTTCTGTGGACGAGAGATTAGACTGGAATTTTAAATTTTTTCGTTATTTTTATTTTAAATTTAGGATTTTTAAAACACAGTAGCACTTGTCTTTATTACTTCATCAAAATCAGCTGCAACTGATAAATTAACTATTTTATTTCTCTCCCAGTTTAATAAACATGTTCTGCCTTAAGGTAGAAAACTAATTTATCTCAAACTGCTGCGGCTTTTTTAAAATTTTTTATTCCATCTTTATATTTTTGCTGAGTTTTTGCCACATCATTCAGCTCTACTCCCAGGTAACCTGCAGTGGAAAAAAAAATACAATAAATGTCGTCAGTGTAAAAAAATATTGTTGCGTTGAAAACTCAGTAGCTTTTCCTCCGAGGGCCTCATTTATGAAAGGTTGCAGCTGGTCAAAACCTTTGTGCGGCAGCAGCTGGGATGTGCAGTTAAAAGTTTGAAGCTAAGAAAAGTCTGGATTTAATGGTAAATGGGAAAAGTGGTAGATTTCTTACTATTTCAGCCCAATAGGGGGAAGCAGAGGGTCGGTTCCCTCACTTTACTCTGTAATGATGCTGTGAGGGAATTTGGTGCTTTTATTTTGAAGGGGCTCCTGGTGAATATTGATAATGTGCAAGTTCATATAAATGGTGGAAGGAATAGTTAGCGTGCTAG